CTGATAAAATGTTACTATTGTTATGGCAAACATTTTATCAGTTTATCACTTTTTGATATCTTTTTCAGAAATCGAGATGATTGACCTCAAAGTTGTTGTTATCAAATTAAACAATTGTAGGTCGTTGAAATGGTTCGAAAACTGGCGAAACACGTCGTGTTGGCTATTGGCGATGGAGCGAACGATGTCGCGATGATACAGCCGGCAAACGTTGGAATCGGAATCTCTGGAGAGGAAGGACTACAAGCAGCGTCTGCGTCGGACTACGCGATTCCGAGATTCCATTTCGTGAGACGACTGCTCCCGGTTCACGGCGCAGGCAAGCATGCGAGATCGGGCAACGGTACGCACGCATGATAACCATCGTGAAGCCAGCAGACAGTGTTCTTCGATCCTCTTATAGGAGCCGAGATAATTGAGCTCAAAGTTGACGGTTTTGGTTGGAAGCTGGTCTGCGACCGCCATTCTTATACTTGCACGTTGAGCTCAATTATCTAGGTTCCTCTGAGAGATACGAAGAATCTGTCAACTGATAAAACGATTGTTATAAAATGAGCAATATTTTATCAGTTGATAGACTCTTGATATCTCTTATAGGAGCGGAGATAATTGAGATTTTCAAAGTGGACATTTACAGATATAGATCGGAAAAGAGGTGCATTCCAATCTAGCCAAATTTGGTATCATTTTGTAGTTCTCTTTGTGGCCTACATTCTACATTCTGGTTCATTCGAAAATTCCAGAATGAACATAAGTTATGCCTGTATTAGAAGGGCGCCCCCTCTCAACCCTAATTCATGCCATTTCCAGGTCATCCTGTACTCATTCTACAAGAACATTTGCCTCTACATCATCGAACTGTGGTTCGCAATCTTCTCGGCATGGAGTGGACAGACGATTTTCGAGCGATGGACGATTGGAATGTTCAATGTGATCTTCACGGCATGGCCACCAGTTGTTCTGGGACTATTCGATCATCCAGTACCGGCTGATCAGATTATGAAGTATCCCGCGTTGTATGCCAGCTTCCAGAACAGAGCATTTAGTATTGGGGTGAGTATGACAAGATGATACAGATTTTGTGAATTGTGATCTGATTTCTTATCATTTCGGTGCTACTTGGACTTTGAAGTAGGCAAGAAACGGACCAAGAACGGACCAACGGCGGGCTGGACCATAACTTTCTTCAAACTCCATATTTTCGAACCAAATAAAATGGATAGGATAGAATTCGACAAGCGCCCCAAGATGATACTAACTGGGATACTGTAGCTGGTCTATGAGCAATTTTACGTGCCAAAAATCGCTACCACGTATGGTTTTTGGGTCATAACTTTGTTGATAGACAAGCTACAGTAACCCAACTATTATCATTTTGAAGTGCTCGTTACCTTCTTTCATATCCATTTTAGTGGGTTCAAAACTATTGATTTTGAAGAAAATCACGGTCTGGCCAGTTTTTGGGCCGCTCGTGGTCCGTTGGAGGCCCGTTTGATGCACAGCTGGTCCGTTGTTTGTTTTCCTGCCATTCTTAGCTAGTTTAATATCAAACTAGCACCATAAATGACAAAGTAAGATAAGACCAACTCTACCTACTTAAGAATGGGCCAAAAACGGACCAAGAACGGACCAACGGCGGGCCGGACCATAACTTTCTTCAAACTCCATATTTTTGAACCAAATCAAATGGATAGAATAGAATTCGACAAGCGCTCCAAGATGATACTAACTGGGATACTGTAGCTGGTCTATGAGCAATTTTACGTGCCGAAAATCGCCACCTCGTAGCTCATATGGTTTTTGGGCCATAACTTTGTTCATAGACAAGCTACAGTAACCCAACTATTATCATTTTGAAGCGCTTCTTAGCTTCTATCATATCCATTTCAGTGGGTCCAAAAGTATTGATTTTGAAGAAAGTTATGGTCCTTTCGTGGTCCGAAAATCTAGTATTTTTCAAAGTTTTTTCCAGAATTTCTCCCTTTGGATCGGGATGGCTATCATTCACTCGTTATCACTATTCTTCCTGACCTACGCCACGATGGAACATCAAGTTGTATGGGACAATGGGTTGACTGGTGGATGGTTGATGTTGGGCAACTGCGCGTATACGGTAGGTATTGCTCAGGTTAAAATTTTTGAAAAATGCCTGAAAATGTGCTCATTTTGAGCCTAATTTAATGAATTTCGAGTTCAAAATCGCTGAAAAATGGCTGAAAATAAACTTTTGAGCGAAAAATCAGTAATGGCCTAGAAACCCAACTTTCCGATTTTCTAGGCCACCTGAAAATATGATATTCGAATTCCGCATAGTCGAAAACCTAGGAATCCCAATTTTCAGCCCGATTGGAGCACTGTGAAAAATTAGGCTCCGCCCACTTTTTGCAATTCTGCCGCACACTTTTCGTTTACCCCTTCTACGTGGTCCTATCTTTCTGAAAATTGGTACATCTAGGTTTTCGACTATGCTAGACAAGAACCTGTTGAAATTTTCTGAATTTTAAGTTTTTAGACTCCGCCCACCTTCACCCTAAACTATTATAACCTATTTTTTGGATTGCATGTGGACGGAGCCTAATTTCTTTGTTACTATCGGATTTGGCATACCTGATTCGCTAGGTGTGCCAATTTTCAGTGCGATTGGGGCACTTTGAAAAATTAGGCTCCGCCCACTTTTTGCAATTCTGCCGCACACTTCTAGTTTACCCCTTCAAAGTGGTCGTATCTTTCTGAAAATTGGTAAACCTAGGTTTTGGACAATGCCAAACAAGAGTATGTTACATGGCTCCGTCCACGTTTAGGCTCCGCCTACTCTTAGGCTCCGCCCACTTTATAATTATTTTAGTCGATTTTAACCCGATTTTCACCATTGTTTTGCAGTTCGTCGTGGCTACAGTATGCCTCAAGGCCCTTCTGGAGTGTGATTCATGGACGTGGCCAGTTGTGGTCGCCTGCATCGGGTCCATAGGTCTCTGGATCGTTTTTGTGATCATCTACGCGTTGGTGTTCCCCCATATCGGTGGAATCGGTGCCGATATGGCTGGAATGGCTTATATTATGATGTCATCGTGGACTTTCTGGTTGGCACTCTTATTCATACCTCTGGCGACACTGATGTGGGATTTGGTTATCAAAAGGTACGTTTTTCAGTAAAAACCCAAGTTTTTTTTGAGCCGAAATGAGCCAATTTAAGTTAATTTTAAATAAAAATGAGCTAAGGCATGAGAATTAGCTGAAAATTGGGCTCAAAAACGAGAAAAATCGCCTAAAATGGACAGCTAGAGCGCTTTTGGCGCGTCAAACTTCGGTGGCCTAGAAATCCAACATTCCGGTTTTCTAGGCCACTTGAAAATGCGATTTTTGAAATCACCATGGTCGATTTGGTATGTCCACCAATTTTCAGCGCGATTGGACCACTTTGAGAAATTAGGCTCCGCCCACTTTTTTGGCAATTTCACCGCACGGTTTTTGAAGAAGCCATTTTGAGCTTTTTTTTTTTGGAAAAAATTGAATTTCAAGCTCGAATAGGGGTAACATTCTAAAAAAAATAGAAGAATTGGCAAAAAACTGGAAACCATGCCGCAGAATTGCAAAAAAGTGGGCGGAGCCTAATTTTCAAAAAATGGTCCTTTCAAGCTGAAAATCGATTTCTAGAGTGAATCGAGTATGTTAAATACAATGGGATTATTTTTAAAAGCCAGAAATCGCTGCGAGACCCAAAAATCCTAAAAATCGGGACCTAAAAGTGGGCGGAGCCTAAGTTCTCAAAATGCTCCAAACGCGCTGAAAATTGGTACATCTACTAAATCGATATTGCTAATTCCAAAAATCACGTTTTCAAGTAGCCTAAAAAATCGTAAAAATGGGTTTTCTAGGCCACCATGGCCCAATGTAGGCTCAAAAGTCGCCTAAAATGGCTCATTTTTGCTCAAATTTTTGCGATTTTTTTTTTGAAATTTTCTGAATCTACAGTAATCCCCTTATTTTTGCAGTCTTTTCACAATCGCAATGCCAACACCACGAGAACTAGCGGTGATGTACACCAAACGGACCACCTCATTCAATGGATTCGAACGGTTAGCCAGGTTGGCTTGTGCTTCTTTACAAAAAAAAATTCCGAAAAGGATTACTGTATTACCTACCTACAGTAATCCTTTTTTCAAAAATAACCAATTTTCACTAGACACCTGGACAAACAGACACACAGACACACTTCTTCTTATCACTAATCTCTCTTTTTTGTTGTTGTTAGGATTTTTAGTTGAAAAATTCCTAATTTTAGGCACTTTTTAGGCTTAAACAGAGGCATTTTTAGGCCTTTTACAAGCCTAAGCCTTCCCAAAAACCCCCAATTTTTTCCAGAAAACCCGTCTTCCTTCACACTATACTAGTAGCCATCGAACGCAGGTTAAAAGCCGCATGCGAATGGGTTTAGGTATACTTCGGTTTTGTTTTTGGCGGAATGAAGAAAGGAAAGTGCGCTCCATTGATAATTTGACCTATTTTCTCGTTTTTCCCGCTAAAAATGACCCAAAATTGACCTATTTTGAGTGATTTTGACCCGAATTATCATTAGAGCGCACTTGCTCAAAAATGTGGACGGAGCCTATTTTTTGTGTTTTTTGGAATGCGTGGGTGTGTGTGTGTGTGTGAATGCGGAATGAAAATTGTGCTTGTTCATTTTTTGGGTTACTGTAGTTTTTTGAATTTTTAGTTTCTTCTTTTTTTTCAAAAATTGGATTTTTCGCGAAAAATAGGCCTTAAATCGGCCTGAATCTAGGCCTGAAAAGCCTAAAAACGGCCTAAAATTGAAAATTTTACCAGCCTAGATATAGGCCTGTCTTAGGCGTTTCAGGCCTTCCAAACCTATTTTAGGCCGATTCAGGCCCTATTTTAGGCCTAGCTATGCTTAATTCGGGCCTAAAATAGGCTCAAAATATGTATGTTTTCTAGGCCAAACAATTTTTTTTTCAAAATGACGATTTTAGGCCTATCTTAGGCTTTTAAGGCCCGACTTAGGCATTTTCAGGCCCTCTAAGGATTGTTTTAGGCATGGCTGAGCTGTTTCAGGCCTCTCAAATAGGTTCAATTTAGGCCTAAATAGATTTTTCCTTTTCAGGCCCTGTCAGGCTTTTCAGGCATGCCTAAGGCCGTCCAACGATTTAGGCCTTGTTTAGGGGCACTTTAAAAGCCTCTTTAGGTCTGTTTCATCCCTATTTTGAATCGAGGCTTTCAAGGCCTTTTAGGCCTATTTCAGGCCTGTCTAAGGTCTTCTTAAGTCTCCTTAACGCATGTACCAGTCCCCGTTTCACGTACCTTTTAAATGTGTGTTTAGGGCCCTTCAGGTCATTTTAGGCCTATTTTAGGCTTGCCTAAGGCCCTGTTAGACCTATCTGGGCCTGTCCTATTCCGTTCCTTCCCTATTTCGAATCACGTTTAGGTCATTTCAGGCCATTTTAGGCTTTTCAGGCATGTCTAGGCCTTCTTAAGTCTCCTTTATGCTTGTACCAGTCCCCGTTTCACGTACCTTTTAAATGTGTGTTTAGGGCCCTTTAGGCCATTTTAGGCCTATTTTAGGCATGTCTAAGGCCTCTTTTAGGCCTTTCTCTGTCATTTTCACTATGTGGTATTTGTCGTTTGTCAGTATTATGTCGTGTGTATAAATCTGTTTGTCCAGGTGGCCTTCCCTTTTCAAATTTTTCGAATTTTTTGAAAAATTCAAATTTCCCGCCAAAATTTGAAATTTCCCGTCACAGCAACTGGGCGGCGAATCAAGGACCAACGAAGGACGGAGCGCACGTCTTCGCGTCGCGATTCAGTCTCCGGAAGAGAATTCAACCGGTGGATTCTGGAGTCGGCTCGCCACGTCATCAGAATTCTGAAAAATCCGAAAATTCATCGTTGACGTCGTCTGGAGGAGGCACGACGTCTTCTGACAATCATCGAAGGAATCGAAAAAACGGAGGAAAATCGAGCGCCGAGTACGGTAGCACAGAAATGTCCACGTGGAATCAGAACTTCGAGGGGGCGGAGCCTGCGTTCAAAAGGGGCGGAGCCTCCTCCTCGCGGTCCTCCTCAACGAATCGAGCGTTTGTGGGCGATCAAAATGTCACTAGGATTACTGTAAACGATGAGGATGAGATGCCACGTGGCACAAGGTTGTGACACTAGCTACAGTAATCCCCCCATACAGTATTCCTATCTGCCAAAAAATCTACAGTATTCCTAAGTCTAAAACTACCGTATTCCCTAAAAAATTCAAATTTGCCGCCAAAAATGTATTGTGTATGTTTTTTTTTTCTCTTTAGCATGTCTTTTTCTTGCATGATGTATGTCTGTCTGTGTATCCACTTGTCCGTTTCTTTTTTTTTTTGAAAAGCTACAGTATTCCTGAAAATTCGTCCTAAAATAGGCTGAAAATCCAGCCCCAATGATGGCCTAAAAGCGTTCAGATAGGCCTGAAAAGCCTGAAAATCTTGAAAATTCGGCCTGAAGACGCTTAAATTAGGCCGAAAAACCTTTAGAAAATGGCCCAAAATCCTTTATAACGACGGCCTAAAAAATCATAAATTGCAGGCTTGAAAACCCTGAATCTAGGCCTGAAAAGTCTAAACAAAAGGCCTGAATTTTTGAAAATTCGGCCTGAAAAGACTGAAAAAATAGCCCAAAAAATTTTTTTGAATTTAAGCCTAAAAGCCTGAAAACGCTTAAATTAGGCCTAAAAACCCTCAAAAATGGCTCAAAATCCTTTCAAACGACGGCGTCAAAAATCATAAATTTCGAGCCTGAAAGGCCTGAATCTAGGCCTGAAAAGCCTAGAAACGGCCTAAAACAGCCTAAGATTGAAGTTTTTACCAGCCTAAAAATAGGCCTGTTTTGGGCGTTTCAGGCCTTCCGAATTTATTTTAGGCCGATTCAGGCCTTATGTTAGGCCTAGCTATGCTCAATGTAGGCCTAAAATAGGCTCAATATAGGCTGTTTCAGGCAAAATCTGAAAAAGCCTGAAAAGCCTAAAAATAGGCCTAAAGCTTTTATATAGTCTGTCTGTGTGTCTGTATGTCCTGGATACCGTCCTCCTCCGCCTCTTCTTCCGTTACTCTCATCCCTCATATGCACAGTACTCAGCCGATTTTTAGTATTTAGACAAAAAAACATGCAAATTCGCTCCATTGAGATATTTTTGAAAAATTATCAATAGAGCGAATTTTCTCCTACTAGCCCCACTGTCTAATTATTTCTCTGTTTTTTTTTCGAATTTGGCGCCAAAAAATTCAAAAAAGTATGGGTTTTTCAGCTACTCATCGAACGTTCTGGAGAATATGCGTCTTCTGACGTCATCGTTACGCGGAAGTACTACTGGATCATCTAGGTCAAGGACCGCTTCAGAAGCGTCGCTTGCGTTAGCGGAACAGACGAGATGTGAGTTTTTGGGCGCAAAAAATGACCCAAAAAACATGAAAAATGGCTTAAAATAAGCTTGAATTAACCCCAAAATCATGAAAAACGGCCAAAAATTGGCCTAAAAAGCCTAAGAACGCGATTTCCATGGCACACACAAAAAGCAAAAAACGATAGGTTCCACCGAGATTTGAACTCGGGTCGCAGGATTCAAAGTCCTGAGTGCTAACCGCTACACCATGGAACCGCACGAGGAGGACAGGAGTGAAAGGCGTAGAGGAGAGTGCGGCGTAGGCGAGAGAGAGGGCGAGGGGGAGACGCAGAGAAGAGAGGGAGCGGGAGAGGGAGGGGAAGAGCGGTTTAGGCGATTTTTGAGCCATTTTTTGGGGTTTTGAAGGATTTTTGTCAATTTTTTTGGGATTTCATAATTTCAGACTAGTTTAAGAGCTATTTTAGGGGTGGAGGCGAGAGAGAGAGGGGGATGAAGAGACGCAGAGAAGAGGAGGAGGAAAAAAGCGGTTTAGGCTCAGATTTGACCATTTTTTCAGCTATTCATAGCCTTTTTACGCCTATTTCAACCCAATTCAGCGTTTTAAACCTACATTTTCGACGATTTAAAAGGAGAAAATGCCCGAAAATCGAAAACATGGGGAAATTGGCAAATGCGCTCTAACAAGGGGGCGGAGCTTGGCGGAATGGGCGGAGCTTGAAAATTTTAACAGATTCTTGTCTGGCATAGTCGAAAACCTAGGTGCGCCAATTTTCAGAAAGATACGACCACTTTGAAGGGGTAAACAAAAAGTGTGCGGCGGAATTGCAAAAAGTGGGCGGAGCCTAATTTTTCAAAGTGCTCCAATCGCGCTGAAAATTGGTACACTCACCAAATCGACTATGAGAAATTCGATAGTAATAAGGAAATTCGGCTCCGCCCACTTTTTATCCATGAAATGTGGTTATTACAAGATTAGGTAAAAGTGTGCGGAGTCTAAAAACCTTTCAATTCGAAAATTCTGTCAGATTCTTGTCTGGCATAGTCGAAAAACTAGGTGTGCCAATTTTCAGAAAGATCCGACCACTTTGAAGGGCTGAAACTAAAAGTGTGCGGCAGAACTGCAAAAAGTGGGCGGGGCCTAATTTTTCAAAGTGCTCGAATCGCACTGAAAATTGGTACACTGAGGGAATCGACTATGGGAAATTCGATAGTGACATTAAAATTAGGCTCCGCCCACTTTTAAGGCAATTTTTCAAAAAAAAAATTTTTTTTCAAAAAACCTGCAATTTTCAAATTTCCAGACGGATTCGCATTCTCACAAGACGAAAGTGCCGCCGTGGCTCAGACGGAGCTCATTCGAAATGTGGACTCGACTCGGGAGAAACCAACTGGACGATGATAACCTTTTTATTGATTATTTTTGCTCTTTTTGGCTGAAAATTTGAATTTTTGGCTGAAATTTTTAAAAACTTTTTTCAACAATTTACGAGTTTCTAGGATTACGGTAGTTCTTTTTTTTTTTGCTCTCTTCCTCTCAAAACCTCTTTTCCCTTTATTGCCAAAATTCTTTCATTTGATCTTTTTTCCCAAAAAAAATTTTTTTTTTCAAAATTTTTAGCCCCGCCCCTCCCTCTTTTAAACGGGCATGTTTCAATGGTTCTTCTTTTTCAAACATATTTGCTCAGCTCTCGTTTTTTTTTTCTTTACAACGAAAATTATCGATTTTTCTGAAATTTTCTCGTTTTTTGTACATTTGATGTTACATGTCTACCCCCATTTTCGTATCATTGTGAGTATTATTACTGCCCCGCCCCCTCCCTGTGAAAATTTCTCTTTTGAGTTTCAAAAATAAATGGATTTTTAAAAAATTTTTTAAAAAATCGACATTTTCCACATCTAGACATCGATGGAGCCAAAAACTAATATGATTTTCGAACTCCCCATAGTTGAAAACCTGGGAATCCCAATTTTCAGCGCGATTGGAGCGTTTTTCAAAAATAAGCCCCGCCCACTTTTTGCAAAACTGCGGCACAGTTTTTGTTTACCCCTTCAAAGTGGTAGGATCTCACTGAAAATTGGTACACTTCGGTTTTCGACTATGCCAGACAAGAATCTATTGAAAATTGTTGAGTTTAAAAATTTAGGCCACGCCCACTTTTATCCCAATATGTGATAGCCCATATTTTTGGTCAAAAGTGGGCGGAACCTAATTTTTTTCATTACCACTGAATTCAGCATAGTCGATTTAGAAGGTATACAAATTTTCATCGTGATTAGAGCATTTTGAGAAATTAAGCCCCGCCCACTTTTTGCAATTCTGCCGCACACTTTTTGTTTACTCCTTCAAAGTGGTCCTAGCTTTCTGAAAATGGTACACCTAGGTTTTCGACTACGCCAGACAAGAATCTCTTAAAGTTTTTAGACTCCGCCCCTTTGTTCGAAATTGCCCCCATATTTTATTGATAATTCAGCATTTTTTCTTGATTTTCAAAGTTCTTATGCTGAATGTACCTCAGAAATCGAAAAGTTTGCAAAAAAAAATTAGAAAAATTTTTAAAAATTAAAATCTCGAAATGTTACTACTTGTAACAAAAGTCGTCACTTTTGTCTTAAAAATTGGATGAGTGAAATAGAAATAACAGGTTATTAATAGAGATTGAGCATCAATTAAAACCGGACCAATTAGGAAAACAAAATAATGAAATTCGTCGAAAATCTCGAAAAGTGAAATTGAGATATTGATTAGGACTGGCAGAGTGAGCAATCCCATTGTCACCGTTAAGACCTTTTCGGCCTTTGAGTTGTGTTTTCGACCGGTTACTGTACTTCTGAAAAAATGCTTAACTTTGAAAAGTTGAAAAAATTGCTGAACATTTGGGGTCCATAAAACTAGGTCAAAAGTGGGCGGAGCCTATTTTCAATACGAAATTTGGAATTTGGGCATTCGATTACCCCAAGGACCAATTTTCTGAGAATCCCACCACTTTGAAGAATCAGGCTCCGCCCACCAGTCTTGCCTCCCGACTTGATCGAAAGGCTGAAACTAGGTCGAAAAGTGGGCGGAGCCTGATTTTGACTTTAAAATTGACTCCGCCCACTTTTCAGTACGCCCTAGTAAAAAGCCAGAAGCTAGGTTGAAAAGTGGGCGAAGTCTAATTTTGACCGAAAACTTGTAATTCACTTATTTAATTACTTTGGGATACCAATTTTCATATCTCTAGGGCCATTTTGAGAAAATAGGCTCCGCCCACTTTTTGCAATTTTGCGACACGTCCTGGTAAATAGCCAGAAACTAGTTCAAAAAGTGTCTGGAGCTTATTTTAGATAAGCCATTCGAATTTTACACATTTGATTACCCCAGGACACCAATTTTCATATCTCTAGGGACATTTTGAAAAAATAGGCTCCGCCCACTTTTTGCAATTTAGCGGCACGCTTTTATTTTTTTTCAAAAACTCACAAATGTTTTCTTTGGCGAAGTTTGAGCAGCATGAAAATATTCAAAAATGCAATTGTTAACAGCACAAATGGATTGATTATCACTTCGATTTTCATAGGAAGTGGCTGGAAAAATTTATTTTCAGAAAAACTTTTTTTTGAATTTTTGTATTGCTCATCCTACTTACCGTAACCTTCGCATCATGATCAATAAACGAGGCAATCATTATCGAAGCATGTGGATATGGACCGCCCAACGGTGTACAAGTGGCCGAATTCAAAAATCTAGGAATCGCCAAAAGAAATCCCAGGGAAATGAAAAATGGGGTCAAGTAAGATAGGTAAAGTCCCACTTTCTGGAATTTCCAGCTTTTTGAACTTGTTATGGTCTAATGTGAAATTTTATGAGCTTTCGATTGGTACAAAAATCAATACTCTAGGATCAAAATGGGCGGAGCTACAGCAATTTTCAAATTTTTTTCTGAACTTGCTGAAAAAGTATCTAAAACTCGGAACTTTTGAAAATGAATACTTTCATGATAATCAGCTTGCTTGAAAACGCAATTCCACAAATTTTCAGCTCAAAATCTCTACTTTAAAGGGAGAAACAAAAAACATGCGGCGAAGTTGCAAAAAGTGGGCGGAGTCTAAAAGTTCAAAATGATCCTAGAGAGATAAAAATTCGTACTATCAAACGCTGGCAACTCAAATTTTAAATCAAAGTTAAGCTCCGCCCACTTTTTGACCTAGTTTTCGGCGTTTTACTGTTTTCGGCGCTTTACAAAACCGCAAAAGTGGGCGGAGCCTATTTTCAAGGGCATGGGATTTTCTTCAAAACCTGTTATCTTGGGGTGATCAAATGTGTGAATTCTAAATTTTATGTCAATTCCAAGCTCCACCCACTTTTTGACCTAGTTTTCGGCTTTTTACTATGTCTTACGGCTACACCGTAAAAGTGGGCGGAGCCTATACCTTCAAAGTACTCGGATCTTTATCAAAATTTGCACCCTGGGGTAATCAAGGACGTAATAACCAAATTGTCAAATATTAAATTAAAATTAGGCTCCGCCCACTTTTAAAGGCTCTCACCTCCTTCAAGTAATTATTAGTTGAGAATAGGAACACTCGCATAGTGCAAAATAAGATAATGGAAAAGTATTTGGAATAAATAATTGAATAATTCGAAAATACAGTAATCCTAGCAATTTTCGCGGGCTTTTCCATGGCACACCATACCGTAATCAGGCCGGTATTCGGGATTCGGGCCACGAAAAAATCGATAATCACATGAAAAATGCAGAATAATTGCATAATTAAAAATTGTCGAAATAGATTTGGGTCCAAATTATTTTTGCTTAAAACAGACCGTTTTTTCAGATAAAAATGGGTCATTTTTAGGAGGATTAGGCCTACAGGGATACTGTAGAGCAGACTACAAACTGCGAAAATGGAAAAATAATTGAAATTTTCGTATTGGAATTCAAAATATTCACGATGCCCAAAAACTGTGTGCTTGTGAGCGTCATCTTCAGAAGACATGTAATATTTTTTTTGTCTGAAAATTTCAGATTTTTCAGAAAACAAAAATTTGTTTTGAGCATTTTTCTTTCTCTTCCGTTTTCTAATTAATCGGGAAATTTTGGAGTTTGTTTGTGCTCTTGTTTTTATGATTGATTTCCTGAGAAATTAATTTTCTGAAATTTTTGAAAATTCCGAGAAAATCAAGCCTTCCTGATCAGGAACCTGGATTTTAAACAAGGCGGTGACTAATTTTGAGGACAATTTTGAATTTTACATGTTCGATTACACCAGGGTACGAGTTTTGAAAAAGATCGCATCCCTTTGAAGAATTAGGCTCCGCCCACTTTTTCTACATGTGCCACGCACCCTTTTAAAGTGCCGAAAACTAGGTCAAAAAGTGAGCGGAGCCTAGATTGTGCAGGAAATTCAAAATTTACGCAGTCGATTATCTAAAAAAACCTATTTTTTGAAAATCCCATCACTTTGAAGAAATAGGCTCCGCCCACTTTTTTTGCTACCGTGAGGCATGCCCTAGTAAATAGCTAGAAACTGGGTTAAAAAGTGGCGGAGCCAAATTTTGACACTAAATTTGAATTTTACGCATTTGATTACCCCAGAAGACAAGTTTGAAGAAAAGTCCATGACTTCGAAAAATTAGGCTCCGCCCACTTGCCCAGCCTTGCCGTATGGCTTTGTAAAAAGCCAGAAACTAGTTCGAAAAATAGGCGGAGCCAAATTTTGACACAAAATTTGAAATTTACGCGTCCTAGTGCTCTCGGATACCGATTTTCAACTCTCTTGTGCCATTTTTAGAAAATAGGATCCGCCCACTTTTCGCTCTAGTAAAAAGCAAGAAACTAAGTCAGAAAGTGGGCGGAGCCTATTTCCAATATAAAATTTAGAATTTACGCATTGGATTACCCCAGGATACCAATTTTCATCTCTCCAGGATCAGTTTGAAAAAATAGACTCCGCCCACGTATTGCAACTTTGCGGCACGATTTTCTTTTCACCCTTTAGAATAGAGATTTTGAGCAGGGGGTTAGTGCTCCTAAGTTTTCAGACACGCTGATCATCATGAAATTCTTTATTTTCGAAGTTTTCGATTTTTGGAAACTTTTAAGAGATTTTCAAACAATAAGTTAAAATTGCGAAAACTCCGCCCATTTTGATTCTAGTGAATTGATTCTTAAGTCTATCGATTGGAAATTTAGTTTGGAATCAAACGAATCACAGAAAGTTTATAGAAAAATTTTACATAATTCAAAAAATGGTGAAAAAAAATCATGTTCATTGAATTCAGCTAACTCCGCCTCCTCCCCAAGAGGCTCCGCCCCCTTTTCACTGCTTCTTCTTGGCCCTCTTGGTTCTCTTCGATCTTTGCAACTTCTTTTTCTTCTTATTCTTCAGACACGTCACTTTTTTGGCATATTTATAGGCCAAAAACGATGCCACATAGGCTCCAATACTTGCCACCACCAACACAAAACTTGTCGTCAATTCGAAAGCGAATACTTTGTTTCTGGAAAAAATAAATACGATTTTTGGATTCAGCATGGTCGATTTGGTCGGTGTAACAATTTTCAGCGCGATTGGAGCGTTTTGAGAAAATAGGCTCCGCCCCTTTTTTGCAATTCTGCCGCACACTTCTAGTTTACCCCTTCAAAGTGGTTAACCTTTCTGAAAAATGATACCCCTAGGTTTTCGACAATGCCAGACAAAAATATGCTAAAATTTTCAGAAATTCAAACTTTTAGACTCCGCCCACTTTTACCCTAAACTGTAATAACCCAAATTTTTGATTGAAAGTGGTCGGAGCCTAAATGTCTTGTTACCATTAAATTTTGCACGGTCGATTTAGTAGGTGTACCAATTTTCAGCGCGATTGGACCACTTTGAGTAATTAGAGAAATTAGGCTCCGCCCACTTTTGGCAATTCTGCGGCACACTTTTCGTTTACCCCTTCAAAGTTGCCCTATCTTTCTGAAAATTGGCACACCCAGGTTTTCGACAATGCCAGACAAGAATATGCTAAAATTTTCAGAAATTCAAACTTTTTAGACTCCGCCCACTTTTACCCTAAACTGTAATAACTCAAATTTTTGATTAAAAGTGGGCGGAGCCAAATTTTTTTGTTACTATCAAATTTTGTATAGTCGATTTGGAAGGTATACCAATTTTCAGCGCGATTGGAGCATTTTGTGAGAAATTAGAAAAATAGGCTCCGCCCCCTTCTTGCAATTCTGCCGCACACTTTTTGTTTACTCCTTCAAAGTGGTCGTATCTTTCTGAAAATTGGTACACCTAGGTTTTCGAGTATGCTAGACAAGAATCTATTAATAGTTTTAGACGCCGCCCATTTCCCTCTAAGCTCCGCCCCACCTCCGCGCTGAAAATCGAGATTGTGGGGTTTTCGGGGGGCGGGAAATGCAAACTTTTCAGAAATCTTACTTGAATTCTGTCTCCTTCAACTTCTCCGCCGCATTTTTTCCCGTAGCTTTCAGAGCTTCGGCTTGTGGACTACTCGGAGTTGTCGATTTTGAAATATCTGAATTTTTTTGGCTGAAAAATTCTGAACATTTGAAATTTACTCGATTTTTGGGTTGTTTCGATGACTGGAGGATTTGTAGGCGTGGCTGAAAATTCTGAAAATTTGAAAAACAATTTTTGACCAAAAAAAAAACTACCCGGGTTTGGAACTACAGTAATCAGTGGCTCCTCAGTCGTGGCTACAGTATCCGGCACAGTACCCGGTGCAGTAACCTCTGTAGATGATGATGATGAATCCGTCCAGGTGGTTGAAGGTTCTGGGAAATTGGAAAAATTAGAAATCAAAATATCTGAAATGAAATTACCTGTTTCGTGGGTTACTGTACTTTCAGTGGTTTCTTCAGTTATCGTAGCTACCGTGCTGGTAGTTTCTTCTGTGGTTACTGTAGCTGTTGTATCCGGAACTGTAGATCGGGTTACTATGGTTTTTTCTGTGATTACTGTAGGTTGATTTAGTAGACTTCCAGGGGCTACTGTAGCTTGTCGGATTACTGTAGTCGCTTCCTGCGTCACTGTGCCAACTGTATCCGGTACGGTGGGTTGGGTTACTGTAGTCGAGTCTTCGATTACCGTAGTGTCCACTGTGACTACTGTAACAACCCTAATAGGTACTGTAGGTTGGGTTACTGCAATCGAATCGGTTACTGTAGCTTGGGTTACTGTAGCTACTTTATCAGGTTGGGTTACTGTAGACGATCCATTTTTAGGTACTGTAGACTGAACTACTGGACCTCCAGGGACTACTGTAGCTTTTTGGATCACTTTAGCTGGATCTTGGGTTACTGTAATTGCCGACGGGTTACTGTATTTTACTGTAGCCACTGTAGCCACGGTATCCGGTACTGTCGGCTGGGTTACTGTGGCTATCGTACCAGGAACTTTGGGCTGGGTTACGATAGTTTGCTGGGCAGTAACTGTAGCTACCGTATCAGGTACTGTAGATTGGGTTACTGGACCTCCAGGGACCACTGTAGCTACGGTACCAGCTACCGTAGGTTGGGTTACAGTACTTTCAGGGATTATTGTAGCGTCCGAAGCTAATGTAGCTGACGTAACCGGTTGGGTTACTGTAGATGATTCGTTGGTTAATGCCGTACTATTTTGGGATACTGTAGACTGGGTTACTGGAACTCCTGCGACTACTGTAGCTCTTTGATCTACTGTAGTGTGATTTGCAGTTACTGTAGTTGCCTCCTTGGTTACTGTATTTCCAAAAGGTACTGTAGCTACCGTAACCGGTTGGGTTACTGTAGATGATCCGTTGGTGGATGCCGTACTGTTTTGGGATATTGTAGACTGGTTTACTGTACCTCCAGGAACAACAGTAGCTGGCTGGAATACTGTAGATGCCGTAGTCAATTCTACGAAATCCTTTTGGGCTACTGTACCCCCCGAGGTTACTGTAGATCCATTGTTCCAGACTACTGTATGCTGGGTTACTGCAGAAACATTTCTACCATCTGGAGTTGAGCCTACTGTAGCTACCGTAATCCCAAATACCACTGCTTTATTCGAGGTTACTGTATAATTTGATCCTACGGTACTTCCTACGGCAGTTGAATTTCGGGATACTGTAGGATGAGTTACTGTAGTTTCTTGGGTTGTAGGCGACCCTGCTGTAGCTACAGTACCTTTATATCCAGCCGATAGGATTACGGTACTATTAGGGATTACTGTAGATACCGTACTTTCAAATACTATCGGCTGGGTTACTGTAGATGAGTTGGCTACAGTACTCTCTGCGGTTGATCCTACTGTAGTTTGATTTTGGCTTACTGTAGCTGTAGGCGATCCATTAGGGATTACAGTGCTTCCCAGGGTTACTGTACTCGAATTTCCGACTACTGTAGCGGTATGATTGGATCCTAAAAATAAATTATCCATCTGTGTGTCTGTTTGTCCGAATACCTTGGATTATTGCAGTCAAATTTTGGAGTACTGTACGTCCTGCGGTTACTGTAGTCGAGTTTCCAGGAAGCTGAAGGCGTTTCACACGGATTACTGTATCCAGACTGTGGTTCACCAGATTTTCTAAAATTTGATTTTTAAAAAATGTGCCGCAAAATTGCAAAAAGTGGGCGGAGCCTAAAAATTCAAAATGGCGCTAGAGAGGTGAAAATTGGTAGTCGGGGGTAATCCGACGCGTAAAGTTCAAATTTCTTGTCAAAATTAGGCTCCGCCCCCTTTCCGACTCACCACATTGAATTTGAAGCATAAAAATCGCTAGAAAAATGCATTTCCAGAACAGTAGTAGAAAACGGCTCATTTGGGGATTTTTGCTGAAAATTATTGAGTTATTGATTTTTATCGATTTTTCGAAGTACCTTTTGATCTGATTTGATGAACTGAATTTTAAAATTTTGGAATTTTCGCAAAAATTTTAGATCCACGACTCAATATTTGGAATCGGAGCTAGCTGGAAAAAAAACGTTTGACGGCGGGAAATTTGAATTTATTGAAAAAATTTTCTCGTGGATTTCGCCTAAAAATTTAGTGGAAAAAGTTCCAAGTCAACAGTAAAAGGGCTGAAAAAATTCCAGCAAACCCAAAAAGTTTGAAAAAAAGTCAATTCTCGATTTTCTCGTTTCTTCATCGACAACTGGAGGTGGGGGCGGAGCTTAAAGTGGGCGGAGCCTAAATTCATTTTTTTTAGTGATCACATTCTTCGTGTAAGAATATCATGAGGTGTTTTCAACTTTGTCAATGGCTACTCCTCGTGTTTCTTCTTCAACAAACGACACAAGAAAGTAGGTCAAAAAAAGGGGCGGAGCCTAATTTCAATAACAAATTTGAATTCGCCATGTCTGATTACCACAGGGTACCAATTTTCAGAGAGATCCCATTACTTTAAAGATTTAAGCTCCGCCCACTTTTGCGGGCTTGCCGTAGGCTTGAGCAAGAAGCCCGGAACTATGTTTAAAAGTGGGCGGAGCCTAAATTTAATTAAAATTTTGAACTCTACGCGTTTGATTACCCCAGGACACTAATTTTCAGAAAGATCCCATTACTTTGAAAAAATTGGCTCCGCCCATTTTTGACGACTTATAGCATGCTTTTTCAAATAGCCAGGAACTAGGTCAAAAAGTTGGCGGAGCTTGATTTTGACAAAACATTTGAAATTTGCGTGTTTTATTATCCCTAGGTGCCAATTTTCATCGCTCTAGGAGCATTTTGAATATTTAGGCTCCGCCCACTTTTTTGTTCAAGGTAGTTCAGAGCCTTTCATGGTCTGAAAGTGGGCGGAGTCTAATTTTAATTTGAAATTTGAATTGAACACATTCGATTACCCCTAGATACCAATTTTCATCGCTCTAGGAGCATATTCAGTTTTTTGGCTCCGCCCATCTTTGTGGTTTTGCCGCACGCCCTTGTAAAAATCCAGAAACTAGGTCAAAAAGTGGACGGAGCTTATTTTAGATAAACAATTTGAATTCTGCGTGTTTGATTACCCCTAGGTGCCAATTTTCATCGCTCTAGGAGCATTTTGAATTCTTAAGCCCCGCCCACTTTCTGCAATTCTGCGGCACGCTATTATAAGTGAGATTTTGAGCTGAAAATTTGCACGTTTGGGACACGCCCATCATTATCGATTTTTCAGATTCCCCGGATGACCCAAATTGGAATACTGTAGTGAGAGTGAAAAGGAATGTGAGAGCAGGTAAAAGGGGGCGTGGCATAATTTGTTTTTGACTCCGCCCACTTTTTTAAAGGCGGCAATTCGACAACCAATGTCAACACAACAATGGCCACAGGTTAGAAACGTTTTTGTCCTAAATGTTTGACTCCGCCCACTTTTAGACCCGCCCACAATGATGCCGAACACAACAGAAGTGCAGACTACACCAACTACAGTAACTCAGGAAGTCAATACTATAGTAACAACGCCAGAAGCTACGGTAAACACTACAGTACTACCAAATGGAATTCCAGGAGTGCAGGGTACATGACTTAAAAAATCTTTTTGAAAAAAATGTTTTTAGAAAATTCAACGACTGAAGCTCCGCCCACCACCCCACTTACAGTAACCGAGCCTACTACAACTGTAACTCAACCTACTGTAGCTGCAAATACTACTGTGAAGGAGAAAAGTAATTTTTAAGTAAACTAAAAAACGTTTTTTTTTAATTATCGAAAATACGGAAGAATTATTTTAGGACATAACTTTTGAAGTTTTGTCCCAAGCTTTTTGAAACTATGATTTTTGAATTTCCCACATTTTTAGCTTCAAAATGAGTATAAACATGACCCATTTTGCAAAAACTTGAAATCTTAGATTTTTTTTTGGGTCCCACCACGAAAACTGAAATTTTCAAAATGTTTCAAACATAGTCGTGTTTGGGCTCATTTTGAAGCTCGTAACTCGCTTAATTTGAATGTATACGAATTTTTAATTTTCAGCTAACACTAATGTAACCCAGACACCAGAAACTTCTACTGTAACGGTTCCACAGACGCCAAACCCCCAACCACCATCAACCGGAGCACCGGGTATTGATTTTTGAATTCCTCACGTTTTTTAGCTTCAAAACGAGTATAAACATGATCCATTTCGACAAAATGTGAAATTTTTTTGGGTCCCACCACGAAAACCAAATTTTTCAAAATTTTCCAAAAGTAGTCGTGTTTGGGCTCATTTTGAAGCTCATAACTTGTTAAATTTTAATTTCGGCATTTTTTTCCATTTTTCAGCAAAAACTACAGTACCCCAAACGCTAGAACCTTCCACTGCAGCACCTACAAAATTCAATCCAATAACAAACCCACAACCAACTCAAAAACCAGGTATCGTTTTTCAAAAAAAGTTTTCAATTTTATCGATATTTCCAGAACCACAACACCCCAATACTCCCCAAAATCCCCTCAAACCGACTCCAGAATCTTCTAGAAATTTGGAAAATTCCAAAAACTCAACTGGTCAGAATTCATATGCCGAAGCGTTGCAAGATGAGGAGAGCGAAAAGCATGACAAGAAGTTGAAGGAGCAACATTTCAAGTAAAATTTTAAAAAATTCGAATTTCCCACCCTCGAAAACCCCCGGATACCTCAATTTTGAAAAACACCTAAAAAACCATGCGACAAACTTGCGAAAATAGGCGGAGCCTAATTTTTTTACAGATTCTGAATATGCGTATTTGATTACCTTAGTGTACCTAATTTCAGCTCTCCAACTCAAACTTGAAGCCATTTTCATTACCGTGCCGCGCAATTGCAAAATGTGGGCGGAGCCTATTTTTTAAACATGCTTCAATCGCGCTGAAAATTAGTACCTAGAGGTAATAAAACTCTTAGAATTCAAATTTCTTGTCAAAACCAGGCTCCGCCCACGTTCAAACCATGAAACGCTCCGCTAACTTTTGACCTAGTTTTTTTTTGGAAAAGTGGGCGGGACTCAATTTTCATAATTTTCGTAAATTTTTTTACAGATTCTAAATTTGCGTACCTGATCACCATAGAATACCAATTTTCAGCTTTCTATCTTTATTCTAAAGTGGTTTTCTGAAAGCGTGCGGCAGTTTTGCAAAAAGTGGGCGGAGCCTAATTTTTCAAAATGCTTCAATCAAGCTGAAAATTAGTACCTAGGGGTAATAAAACTCTTAGAATTCAAATTTCTAGTCAAAACCAGGCTCCGCCCATGTTCAAACCCTGAAAAGCTCTGCTCACTTTTTTTGGAAAAAAGTGGGTGCAGCCTGATTTTTATAATTTGCTATTTTTTTGCCAGATTCTGAATTTGCGCACTCGATTGCCTAGGCCTGCCAATTTTCAGGTTTCTATCTCTATTCTGAAGTAGTTTTCTAAAACCATGCGGCAAACTTGCAAAAAAGAGGCGGGGCCTATTTTTCAAAAGTCGCGCTAAAAATTGGTACCCGGGGATAATTGACTATGCTAAATCCGATAAGATCACAATAATCTCGCTCCGCTCAATCTTAACAAGAAATATTAGGTTATTAAACTTTAGGGTAAAAGTGGGCGGAGCTAAACTTCCAGAATTTTTTTTGCATTTTTTCACAGATTCTGAATCTGCGTATTTCATTACTCTAGTGTACCAATTTTCAGCTCTCTATCTCTATTCTAAAGTAGTTTTCTAAAACCATGCGGCAAACTTGCAAAAAGTGGGCGGAGCCTATTTTTCAAAAATGCTTCAATCACGCTAAAAATTGGTACTTGGGGGTAATCGACTATGCTGAATCCGAATATCGTGTTTTTTTTGCAGGAAGAAGATCTTCGCCTTCGAATTGGGTACTTGTTCGATGTTGATCGTTGCCAGTGTTGCGGCATATGTCTTCTCGTTTTTGGCTTACGATTATGCCAAAAATTTGACAAAAGTCATCAAACAACCAGGAAAGAAGCTGAAGAAGAAGTAGAGACCTCGATTTTCTCGAATTGAAACAATCTGTGGAAATAAAATATGTTTTTTTTAACTTTTTGAAAATTTTGATTTTTTGGATTTTTTGAAATTTTCAGAAACTCAATTTTTTTTTGTTTGGGAGAAACTAGAACTTTCTTTTTGAAACTGCTATTTTCTTATCAGTGAAAATTTGAGTCGGCGGAGTAAAAATCGAAAAATCAGGTGATAAGGAAATTTTGCGGCCAGAATTTCAACCGAAAATTCTTTTTTGTCATTCAAAATTTGTTGTCTCTAATGATAACGAAAATTCGAATTTAGTTTCTTTTTCTTTTTTTTCACCAATTTTTTTTCATAATTTTTTTGCTCAAAAATTTCGAAGATCCGCCCATTTTAAGAGAAGCATGCGGCGAAATTAGTGAAAGTGAGCGGAGCCTAATTTTTATAATTTTCAGAACTGTTTTGATAGATTCTGAGTTTGCATGTTCTATTACCCGAGTGTACCAGTTTTCAGCTCCCTATCTCTATTCTAAAGGCGTTTTCTGAAAGCATGCGGCGAAATTGCAAAAAGTGGGCGGAGCCTGTTTTTTGAAAGCTATCCGATCGATCTGAAAATTAAGTGTTATGCGTAACCAATAGATTCAATTGGAATAGAAACACTCAAACTTTTCATACTCCGATCCGGTAAAACCGTACCGCACTTTTTGCACTTTGCAGAAGACAGTTTGGCAAAAGTGGGCGGAGCTTAATTCTTGGAGTTTTTCGCAGATTCTGAATCAGCATACATGATTACCTAAGTTTACCAATTTTTAGCTCTCTATCTCTATTCTAAAGTGATTTTCTAAAAGCGTGCGGCAGTTTTGCAAAAGTGGGCGGAGCCTGTTTTTTAAAAGTTATCCGATCGAGCTGAAAGTTTGTTTCTAGGGGTAATCAAGCACGCGAACTTCGATAGCGCTATTTTCGAAACCTATCTCTTTGTATTCTAAGTAAAATTACTTCAAAATTCAAACCATGCCGCACTGTTTGCAAAAAAAAGTGGGTGGGGCCTAACTCTTGGATTTTTTGACAGATTCTGAATTCTCATGTTTCATTACCCTAGTGTAGCAATTTTCAGTTTCCTATCTCAATTCTAAAGTAGTTTTCTAAATGCGTGCGGCAAACTTGCAAAAAGTGGGCGGAGCCAACATTTTCAAGATGCACCAATCGCGCTGAAAATTGGTATCTGGGGGTAATCAAGTACGCAAAATTTAATGGCGTTGTTTTCAAAACTCTATCTTACCGTTTGCTGGTGAAACCTGAAATTTTCAGCCACAAAATGTTGTTGCAAAAAGTGGGCGGAGCCTATTTTTCAAAAGTGCTCCAATCGCGCTGAAAATTGGTATCTAGGGGTAATTCAACATGCGAAATTCAATGGCGCTATTTTCAAACGTCTATCTCTAAGCTTTTCTAGTGAAAATTTACTTTTAAAAAATTTTCAGCCAACAATAATGTTGCTGCTCAAAACCTTGGGAATCGCTCTCATCTTGGGTCTCGCAACGGCCGATAAGTGTTCGGATTGTCTGGCACAAGGGAAACAGTGAGTTTTTGCCAAGAAATTTGGGAAAAAATATTTTGAACAAAAAAAAGTTTATTTTTCCTGAAAATTTCCAGGCAAATATTACAACTTTCAGCTGGTGCGTCACAGTCAATTCTTGCGGTTTCACACCATGTGTTACTACAATTACGGTATGTCTTGAGCAAGTTTTGGGACAAAAGTTGAACAAACTCAAAGTTTTCATAATAAAAAAGGTTTTTTTTCAAAATTCCAAAAATTCCAGAAAGCTCTAAACTGCCCAGAACTGCCTGATAAGGCGCATGCATATGATGATAGCTTCATGCGGAATAAGGTCTTTATCACTCACTCGGCCGCCTATAATATGGACCCACAAAAGTGTTTTACGTAGGTTTTTCAGACTTTTCAAAAAAAAAAATGTTCTGAAATTTTTTTTTTGTCTGAAATTCTAACTTTCAGCAGCAAAATGCCATCGATGAAGGTGTCAAAAGTGGTGAATGTGAATTGTGATCGATATGGACCAAGTCAGTTTTTAAAATTTTCAAAAAAAAAATTTTTCAAAATTTTCAGATTTTTCTGAAATTTAAATTTTTCAGAAGCCATGTGTTTCAGCTTCACTGCTTACGACACCACGCAAAGAGTGATTGCGTTGACTTTCAGAGGAACTGAAGGTGGCACACAGCTCACTGAGGAAATCCTAGACTTTTTCCAGTAAGTGCGCTCTATTGCGAATTTACGAATTTCGGGGATTTTAGGCAACTTTCACTAGGAAAACGGGAAGATATAGCTTTGAAATGATTTTCATTGAATTTCTCATATTTGATTACCTCTAGACACCAATTTTCAGCGCGCTTGGAGCACTTTTGAAAAATAGGCTCCGCCCACTTTTTGCAACAACATTTTGTGGCTGAAAATTTCAGGTTTTGAGGTTTTTTAGAAAATTTCACCAGGAAACGGTAAGATAGAGTTTTGAAAACAACGCCATTGAATTTTGCGTACTTGATTACCCCCAGATGCCAATTTTCAGCGCGATTGGTGCATTTTGAAAATTTTGGCTCCGCCCAGTTTTTGCAAGTTTGCCGCACGCTTTCAGAAAACCACTTTAGAATAAAGATAGAAAACTGAAAATCGCTACACTAGGGTAATGAAACATGAGAATTCAGAATCTGTCAAAAAATTTAAGAGTTAGGCCCCACCCACTTTTTTTTGCAAACTTGCCGCACGCTTTTCGAAAACCACTTCAGAATAGGGATAGAGCGCTGAAAATTGGTAGCCATCGGTAATCGAGTACGCTGATTCAGAATCCGTTTTTAAAATACCTACAAAAAATTGACTGGAGAGTAGGCCACGCCCCCTTTTTTTCGAACTTTGTGTATTTTTGGGCTCAAGCCAGATTTCAATAGGAAACCGGGAAGATATATCTTTGAAAAGAATTTCATTGAGATTTGCGTACTTGATTACCTCTAGACACCAATTTTCAGCACGATTGGAGCACTTTCGAAAAATAGGCTCCGCCCACTTTTTGCAAGTTTGCCGCACGCCTTTAGAAATCCGCTTTAGAATTGAGATAGAGAGCTGATCATTAGGACACCCGGGTAATCGAGAAATCTGATTCATAATCGATAGAAAAGTCTGACAAACAACTACCAGAAAATTAGGCTCCGCCCACTTTTTGCAAAACTGCCGCATGGTTTTAGAAAACTACTTTAGAATAGAGATGGAGAGCTGAAAATTGGCAGGCCTAGGTAATCAAGTACGCTGATTCAGAATCTGGCAAAAAACTTCCGAAAAAAAGCCACGCCCACTTTTCCAACCAAAAAATAAAACTTTCAGCGGCAAAAAGGCGTTTTTCGATTCTGGAAACGTTTTCGAGTATTTCTACGACGCTTTCTTGTTCCAATGGAATGCGGGATTGTCTCAGGACTTGAGAAATTTGAAGTATAAATATCCAGATTACGAAATCTGGGTCACAGGACACTCAATGGGCGGAGCCATTGCATCAATTGCAGCGTCGTATCTCGTGAAAACTGGATTATACACTTCGGATAAGATCAAACTGGTCACTTTGGGACAGCCGAGAACCGGAGATTATGCATTTGCCCAGTGGCATGATGCCACATTCCCCTATTCTTTTAGAATCGTCCATCACAGAGATATCGCCGCCCATATCCCACCAATGGAGGGCCAGGATGAACTTTTCCATCATCGTACTGAAGTCTGGTAAGTTTTTTTTCGAATTCCCAACAATTTTAAGCCTATTCTAACATTTTTAAAATTTCAAAACGCTTCAATTTAACCTATTTTACAGCTAATCAGACTCGAATTACATTTAAGCCTGAAAAAGGGGCGGAGCCTGATTTTTCCAAAAAAAAATTTCAAAGATTCAGAATGTGCATGATGGATTACATACCTCCACCAATTTCCAGCTCTCTAGCTCCATTATAAATAGATTTTCTAAAAGTATGCCGCAGTTTGCAAAAAGTGGGCGGAGCCTATTTTCAAAAGTGTTCCAATCAAGCTAAAAATTGGTACCTAGGGGTAATAAAACTCTTAGAATTCAAATTCCTAGTCAAAACCAGGCTCCGCCCACGTTCAAACCCTGAAAAGCTCCGCTAACTTTTGACCTAGTTTTTTTTGGAAAAGTGGGCGGGACTCAATTTTCATAATTTTTGTAACTTTTTTTACAGATTCTAAATTTGCGTACTTGATTACCCTAGAATACCAATTTCCAGCTTTCTATCTTTATTCTAAAGTGGTTTTCTGAAAGCGTGCGGCAGTTTTGCAAAAAGTGGGCGGAGTCTAATTTTTCAAAATGCTTCAATCAAGCTGAAAATTAATACCTACGGGTAATCAAATACGAACAACACGATGATATGCGAATTTTTGACCTCCGCCTACTCTGAAGCCCCGCCCATATCGAAGAGAAAAAACTACAAAGTGAAAGTGGGCGGAGCCTGATTTTTTCAAAAATTTTCAAAGATTCAAAATCTGCATGATGGATTACATACCTTCACCAATTTCCAGCTCTCTAGCTCCATTACAAATACATTTCCTAAAAGTATGCCGCAGTTTGCAAAAAGTGGGCGGAGCCTATTTTCAAAAGTGCTCCAATCAAGCTGAAAATTGGTACCTATGGGTAATCAAACACGCTGAATCCAACGCCGCTAACAAATTTCTCTGAAAATGAGCTTAAAATCCTAAAATTATCGAATTTGCAGGTACAACAACAACATGACCGTCGGCATGCCATATACGCTGTGTGCAGAGGCTGATGGATTGTACTGTAGTGCAAGACAACTGGATTACAGTGCTGAGGACCATATCTGGTATTTTGGAATCAATTTTGTCGATTGGGGAGCTGCTGGATGTCCTTAAAATTTTTTGGTTTCAGAATAAATATTTTTATTGCAAGTTTATTAATTTTTCTCTTGAAATTCTGGAAAATATCATTTACAGCTCAAAATTGGCCACATTATGAGAGCAATTCGAAATTGTTGAAGTTTCTATGTGGCTCATAAGATTAAAATACTCTAAGATTAAAATAATAAAAAAATCTTTATTTTAAACATTAGTTGATTTCAAGTTCTATAATAATAGCAAATTAAGATAATGACAACGACGATGAGAAAAATACACACTCCAAGCCATGCAGATCTGAAAAAACTACCAAAAAAAAATGAGCCCAAATGCATACCGTAACACCTGTAATAGAAGGGCCCCTACACTGTCAAGTTTGAGCCGATTTATCTGGGTTACTGTAGGAGATATCAAAAATCTGTCAACTGATAAAACTCAGAGAATTTAATGATAAAGATTTTATTAGTGAAAAGTTTATTGATATCTTCTAAAGGAACCGAGATAATTGAGCTCAAAGTTCAGAAGTCAGCAGGCGATAGCTGTGACAAGCGCCGACTTTTCAACTTTGAGCCCAATTATCTCGGTTTCTATAATAGATATCAAAAATGTGTCAACTGATAAAACTCAGCAAATTTAATGATAATAATTTTATCAGTTAACAATTTTTTGATACCTTGTAAAGGAACCGAGATGGCCGTTTGTCCGTTGAGCTATGCGGTTGCCAGCCAACTTTTTACTCTGAGCCCTTATATCTCGGTTCCTGTGATAGCTATCAAAAATGTGCCAATAAAAATAAAATTTAGGAAATTTAATGATAAACATTTTATCAGTTAACACATTTTTTGATATCTCTTATAAGAACTGTGATAATGAAGCTCGAAGTGAACGGATGACGTGGGCTTCTATCAGAACAAGTACGGTATATTTAAAATGGCCAGTACAGTATTTTTTAAATTAAAACAGCTCACATTGGCTGTTTTGACATCTTTTCCACAGATTTACCAATTGCAAAGAAATCGATTGGGATTCCAGATAATCATTTTGCAGTTTGGATGATTTCATGAAGAGCAATAAAATCAGAGGATTTTGGAGATTTGCCAGCCGATTTGTTCTTGTTGATTTGCTGCTTCAGTTGGTTGATCTTCTGATCCAACCCCAATAAATCTTCCAAGTTCTTTCTATCTTTTGGACCCGAAATTTCATTCAAGAGGTTCTCGACCTTCCGAATTGAGCCGTATCCAGCTCCACACTAGCCGCCAACATCATCTTTATTCCACGAAACACTCGAGCCGTCGATCCTATTGCTTGGGAATCTTTGAGAATTTTGTTTGTGGATGCCAACGCATCCTTCTCGCCACTCTTCATTCCAGATATGTCTTTCATTAAATTCTCAAGTGAGGAGATGGTGATTTTGGCCGTTTTGATCCACCCAGTGATTTATTGGACATCTGGCACACTTACAACCGACTTCCGATGCTCTCGAATAGCTCTGATTGCTGCTCCGAGTGTTTTGGATCCTGGCAGCTTTTTCCGAAAATTAACTTGAAAAACGGGAAACTCAGCAAATTTTCAGAAGATCAGATTTTTTATTCAAATTTCGGAAATTTGAAGAAATTGGGAATCGGAAAAAAAAACCAGAAAATCCTGGAAATTCATATTTTTCAATAATTTCAGAACAGCTTTTTCGAAGCTTTGAAAATCAGAAAAATTGAATCGATTACTTCTTTCTACTCCCACACACACACATATATACTCCAATTCGTCCCATCTAAATCACTCTTCTTTGATTTCTCTCTTTCTCTCTGCGTCTCTTCTTCCCCAATACTCTCTCCTTCGCTTCACAACGAAAAGAGCCCACAGCTGCTCCGTGTGCGGGCTCCAAACACAACAATAACAACTTCCACTCTTCTCCCCAAAACTTTCTAATTTCGAAAAATCCTATTTTCGTCGATTTTCTTCTGAATTCTGAACTTTTAAGAAACAAAAATGACGAAACCTGTTGGATGGTGTGCCACATGGCTTCCTTTGATCAAAATTGCTCAGGCTGTGAGTCATTTTCGAAGGTTGAAACCTAAAAATTCGGATTCCTTACTAAATTTTGGTCTAGAAATCTTTTTTCTGGGAATTTGTGTTTGCAGACAAAACACCAGACGACAATTGCAATTTTTTGGTTTTTAGAGTCTTCGGACCAGTTTTTCAAGTTAATTTTCGGATTTCCCATGAACTTTTAGTCGGGAAACAATTTTGCTAGAAATTTCTATAGTTTTTGGTGTTTGCGGACAAAACACCAAATTTTACGACAATTGCAATTTTCTGGTTTTTAGAGTGCCTAAAATAAGATTCCAAGTTAATTTTCGGATTTCCTTCAAAATTTCCTTCAAAATTAAATTTTAAAATTGGTAATTAGAGGTAATTAAGTGTGGGGAACACGAATCTGAAGCTAAAATTTCAAACTTTCGAATTCTAGATTTGCCATTTCATCGTAATCATAATGTTCCTAGATGGTCGTGCGCAATGGTAAGATTTCAAGGGATTACTGTAATCGAATTATTTGTTAAAGGTACATGTACAATGCCATCTTCATCTTCTCATTTCTCGCCCTTTTCTTCTCGTTCTTCACAATTTTGCTCCGGTTTTTCGAGCTCACCGATTTGCACATAATGTCGTTTAACTTTGCGGTAATTATTTAATTATCTAATTAATTAAGTCTTTAATTGCAGGCCATGATAATTAACTTTCTGCTCATGTCGATAAGTTTGGCATTTTCTGGGCTCCTAATTTGGGATATTTGTAATATGAGAGAGGGACCAATCAAGATACGGTATCATCAAAGACTGCCACCAGCGAACATTGGAAATGATGCATGGATTAGGAGATGCGTCGTTGCTGCGGTAATTTTTTTTAGTTTAAAAAAATCTGAAATTTTCTGATTTTTCGAATATTCCAAAAAAAAATTTTTTTTTTCGTATTTTCCGACTTTTCTGAAATTTTCTAGCTAAATTCAATTCCAAAATCAAAATCCTCACATGATTTTAGCCTAGAATCGTTTTTGTTTGAAAAAAACAAACACCAAATTTGACGCGCATGTTCGAAATTTTGGGTTTAAACCACTCTACGCGATGGTATTTAGCTCTATTTTCGTTCCATTCGTATCAGGAGATAAAAATGTTGATTATGGAGTGTTTGCGGACTCAAGACATCCAATTTGACGACACTTTTCAAAAAATTCCAGAAGTTTTTTATTAATTTTCCTAATTTTCTGAAATTTTCCAGCAGAATCCATTGTCAAAATTGAATTTCTCACAGGATTTTAGCCTGGAATTGTTTTTGTTAGGATTCCCTTGTTAATTTGGTGTTTGCGGACTCAAAACACCAAATTTGACGCGCAAATTCGAAATTTTGGGTTTTAAATCGTTCAAAGCGATGGGATTGAGCTCTATTTTTGTTCCATTCGTATCAGGAGATAAAAGTTTCAATTATTGACTGTTTGCGGACTCAAAACATCGAATTTGACGGCAGTTTTTAAAAAAATTTCAAAAAAATTGTTTTCGAATTTTTCCGAATTTTATGAAACTTCCTAGCTAAATTCATTGCCAAAATCGAATTTCTCACACGATTTTAGCCTAGAACCGTTTTTTGTTCGAGATTCTCCTGTTCATTTCGTGTTTGCGGACTCAAAACACGGAATTTGACGCGCAAATTCGAAATTTTGGGCTTTCCAAGCGCGTCGGAGCGAATAGCAAATTTACAGCGTTTTCCAAATGACAAAAAAGTCCTTAAAATATAACAAAAAGTGTTTGCGGACCAAACACCAAACTTGACGCGCAAATTCGAAATTTTGAGATTTAAATCAGGCAAAGCGATGGGATTGAGCTCTATTTTCGTTCCATTAGTACTGAGCAATGGGAGCTTTGATTATATGGTGTTTGCGGACTCAAAACATCGAACTTGACGACACTCTTCAAAAAATTTTCAAAAAAATCGAAAATTGATTTTTTTTTTCAATTTTAAACTTTTTCAGACATCCCTTCTATTGGCTGGAATTCTCTACCTGATCACATATCTCAAACTTCGTTCAGTTTCATCTAATTGATTGTTTAATTATTTAATTGGCTAATTAATAAAAATATAATTTCCAAAATTTTTTTTCAAAATCTGAAATATTCAAAATTCTCTCAAAAACCTTTCCAGTCAACTTTCAGCGCCAATTTTGGCATCATTCGAATCAGCAGAATCTGAAAATTGCTCAGCTTAAAAGCCCATTCACATTGTACTTAATTTATTTAGCTAAATTCAGGAAAATAGAACATGAAGAAAAACAAAGAAGACGGGCTGCTAGGGGGGAATATGCATTGGATGTGTTTGTGTGTGTGTGTGAATGTGGGGGCGGAGCTTAATGGGAGAGGGTTACTGTAGTTCATTCAAGAGATTTCAAGAGGATCTTTGGAACGGGCGAGAGTGTGAGACATAGAGAGACGCAGAGAGACGCAGAGAGAGAGAGAGAGTGAATTTTTGGAATATTGGTGGGAAATTCAAATTTTTCAAAAGATGAAAATTAAATAATAATGTCAAAATATAGCAAAAAACCGGGAAATTTTTAGAGAGCTTTTTAGGTGATTACAGTAAGTAGATTAGTGATAAAAAGATAAAGGAAAGAAAGAAAGATCAAAGGGAGGAAGAGGGGAAAAATGGGAAAAATGGGAAAAATTGCAAAAATAGTTCAAAAGTGGGCTTTTTTGAAATTTCGAAAATTCAAAAATCAAAAAAAAATTAAATGTTTTTTTAATTTTTATAATTTTTAAAAAATCCAAAAAATTCCAAACTTCCAGAACTATTTTCAGGAATTTCGAAAATTCAACAAAAAATCAATGAAAAATCGATTATCGATTATCGTCCATTGGGCATCTGTGGTGGTTTCTGTTGAGCCTGAGCCTGAGCCTGAGCCTGTGCCATTTGCAGTAACTGTTGAAGTTGTTGAGCTTGAGCCTGAGCGGCTGCTTGCTGCTGAGCCTGTGCTGCAGCCAGTTGTTGCTGCTGATTCGGTTGTCCTGCAGCTGCTGCCTGCTGTGCTGCAGCGGCCTGTTGCTGCAGAAGACGTTGTTGCTGGAGGAGGGCTTCAAAGTTCTGCGGTGTGGCTTGTTGCTGACGGTTGGCTGCAGCGGCTTGGGCAGCAGCGGCAGCTTGTGCGGCTGCTAGTTGTTGGTTCTGCAAAAATTAGATTTTTGAAAAAATCCATTTTTAGTACTTTCAAATTTCCTCTAGCTCAATTTAAGCATCAAATTCGGAATCCAAACAAAATTCTATCCTTAAACCCTTTTCTTCCGGGTCGCTATTATGCTTGTCTGAGAAAAAAAGGTTAGAGAGTATTTTTTGCAGTCTGAATACGGTAGCGATATCGAAGCGGAGAGCCTAAATAGCACACAAACGGTGGAGACGCAGACACTTTTTCTCTGCGTCTCAACCTTTTTTTTCTCAGACAAGCATAATAGCTCATATTTGATTTTTCGGGTTACTGTAGCCGCAACCACTTCGCGAAACATCATATCTTACGACAATTAGTCTAATTCAGCTAATATTGGGTGTCCAGGGGTAGTTCTAGGCGGGGAATTCGAATTTGCTAGTGGTTTTTAGTTTAGATTACTGTAGGTGCCCGAAATTTCGTGGTGGGACCCAAAAATTCGATTTCGACTAAATAGAGGCATGCTAATACTCATTTTGAAGATCTAGATGAGCTAAATTCAAATTTAGCGCCTGAAAATTCTAAAAAACTAAGCTCTAACGAGGCTTCTAAGCCCTATTTTGATTTTCAAGATTACTGTATTCCCCAAAACTTACATGCTGCGCAGCTTGCTGTTGCTGCTGGTGCTGAGCAGCCTGCTGCTGCTGCTGCTGTTGTTGTTGCTGATGTGCAGCAGCTGCGGCAGCAGCAGCCTGTTGCTGAGCCTGAGCTTGTTGCTGCTGAAGCTGAGCTGTTTGTTGTTGAGCTTGAAGGAGCAATCGAATCAGATCCTGTTGTTGTCCTCCAGGTGCTCCAGCTCCTCCTCCGGCTGCAGTCAATTGTAGTAGTTGTTGCAGTTGTGCCTGTTGTTGAGCCTGTGCTTGGGCTTGGGCTTGCGCTTGCGCCTGGGCTTGCGCCTGAGCCTGAGCTTGAGCTTGGGCCATGATTTGAGCTTGTTGGGCGGCCTCCAATTGTCTGAGCAGCTCCTGTTGTTGGTTGTGCGGGGTGGCGGCTGGCGTGGGCGGAAGGTTCGGTTGCTGTTGTTGCGCCATTTGAAGACCGTACAGGGGGTTTTGTTGGAGCTGCAAAAAGCTCAAACTTGCGCGTCAAATTTAATGTTTAGTCTGCAAACACACTTTCAATCGAATTCCCATTCCCCCATACCGATAGAATGAAAATATAGCTCAAATCGATCATGTTGCACGGTTTTAAACTCAAAATTACAGATTTGCGCGTCAAATTCGGTGTCTAGTCTGCAAACACCAAAGTGACGGGAGAATCTCGAACAAAAACGATTCTAGACTAAAATCATGCGAGGATTTCGATTTTGTCAATGCATTTAGCTGGAAAATTTTAGAAAATCGAAAAAATTGGAACTTTCAAAAGTGTCGTCAAAATCGATGTTTCGAGTCCGCAAACACCTTCTAATCGGAATTAGTATTGGCTTATACTAATAGAACACAAATAAAGCTCAATTGCAACATTTTAAATGGTTTAGAAGCCAACTTTTCAAAATTGCGCGTCAAACTTGGTGTTTAGTCCGCAAACACAAAGGATCCCCAAAATCCACCGGGGAATCTCAAACAAAGACGATTCTAGGTCAGAATCGCGCGAGAAACTCGATTTTGGCAATGAAAATTTCCAATTTTCAGGTTTTGTCCCCAAAACATCAATAAATCTCTCACCTGCATCAACATCATATTCATTTGCTGCTGCTGCTGCTGTTGTGCCTGCTGCTGCTGTTGCTGAGCACTGACTGGTGCTCCTTGTTGTTGCTGCTGAGCAGCCTGTTGCTGTTGAGCCTGCTGCTGTTGCTGCTGGAGATGTTGCTGTTGTTGTTGTTGAATCATCGCCAGAATTTGTTGACTTTGTTGGGCCTGGAAATTTTAGATTTGAACTTTCCGACTTTTGAAAATTTTTGGGCCAAAAATTGCCTCAGATTCGTTTTTCCCATGGGTTGTTTGGTATATTTGCAAAATTCCAGGGTTCTAGCTCAAAGTGGCGTAAAATACGGTGTTTGGTCTGCAAACACCGAGGTACAGTAATCCGGAGTACGAATGGAATTCCCGGGGGCGCAATTTTACGGGAAATTCGATTTTCCTAGTTTCATGAGCTCTACAGTTCTCCGAAACATAAAAAATCTAAACTGTCGTAAGGTTCAGTGTATTGGACGCAAACACCTGTGGAAGCCCTAAATTGAAAGCTAGAGACGCTCGGAAAAACGTTGTAGGGTAAAATTTTACGGAAAAATCGATTTTTATAGTTCCAAGGTCTAGCCAACGGCCTCTAAAAGTTCAACTGTCGTGAAATCAGGTGCATTGGACGCAAACACCTTTAGATGTCTTGGATTGAGATCTAGCGACTCCCAAAAGCATGATTTCAGTGTGAAATTTTATGGAGAATCCTATTTTCAAGGTTCAAGGCTGTCTACAGTAACCCTAAACCTTGAAAACCTAAATTGTCGTAAAATCTTGTGTTTTGGACGCAATAATATCTGGAAGCTCTAAATTTAACGCTAGAGATACCATAAAACATAATATCATGGTGAAATTTCATGGAGAATCCAATTTTCAAGGTTTCAAGTCCTCTACAGTAACCCTTACCCTCGAAATTTGCATCTTTTGGCACTTCCGACTTTTCTACAGTAACCCAAAACCCCTGAAAAGTCTCACCTGCAACGCCTGCTCCCTCTGTTGCTGCATAATCATTGCTAGCGCCTGTTGTTGTGCCAAATCGTTCACCTGCGCGGGTTGCATTCCAGCACTCGTCGCAATTTGCTGTAGAGTGGGCGTGGCTTGGGTTGCCGGCGCTGCTTGTTGGGCCGACGTGGCGATTCCAATCAGATTCCTTTGTTGTTGCTGTTGGGCGGCCGAGATTTGGTTGGCTTGGGTTGTGTGGGCGGCGGACGGCGGACGGGCGATCGGCGGTTTTGGGGTGGCCCTGAAAATATCGATTTTTAGGGATTTTTAGGTCAATTTCAGCCATTTTCAGCTCATTTTCAGCCGTTTTTTTTCCGCATAGATATAGATTCACGACCAATCACACACGCACTCACAACACGCTATTTATAGATAGAGGGGGATAAAGAGAGAGAGAGAGAGTGAGAGAGAGAGAGAGAGATCTACAGTAGTTGGAAACTCACGCAACACGTCGCGCTGCCTCAGTTATAGTGGCTGCCATCAGCTGTGGATTTCCAGCATAAGACGGACCACCCGACAATTGTGGTGGCGGGAATTGTGTGAATTGACTGCAAAATTGAAAAACTAGAAAACTAGATTTCTCATTTTTTTTTGGGGATTTTTGAAGGGGAATATGGGGAGAAAAGAGAAGTGGGGAGAAAAATTTGAACTAAAAATTCATATTTCTCATGCTCGAAAACCCCGAAAATTCAATTTTCCGCAAATTGTCGTCAAATCTGACGTTTGGTCCGCAAACACCAAGGTACAGTAATCCGGGATGAAAACTGAATCATGGGGGTCAAATCGCATTTTTAAGTCTTCTACAGTAATCCTGAACCTCAAAAATCTCAATTGTCGTCATATTCAGTGTTTTGGACGCAAACACCTCTAGAAGCTCTAAATTGAGCGCTAGAGACTCCTTAAAACATGACTTCAGGGTCAAATTTCATGGTAAATCCGGTTCCAAGCTCAAAACTCTAAAAAACCCGCTCAAAATGAGACAAAATAAGAATTGTCGTAAAATATAATGTTTAGGGTCCGCAAACACCAAAGCAACGCTAGAATGCCCGTAAAACCGTTCCCTAGTCTGAAATTTCATGAGAAGCCCAATTTCAATCATAAAATCTGCTGAAAACGCTTAAAAACACCAAAAACAAAAATTGTCGTAAGATATGGTGTTAGAGGGTACGCAAACACCAAAACCGTTAGAATCAATGTTAGGAACCGGGAAAAAAAGTGTGTCTAGGCTTAAATTTTGCGGGAAGTCCGATTTGGCTAGTCTCATTTTGTTTTGAAAGCTAGGGAAGTCGAAAAATGCGAATTTCCAGAATTCCCACCTATAGTAATTCGATGAATTTCGAAAAATTATACTTTTTTGAGTGTCGCAGACTCGTATGTGTTGTTGTGTCGTAAAATCTGGTGGTTAGTACGCAAAAAAAACCGCGCGAAAACACAATTTTCAAAAATTGTCGTCAAATCTGATGTTTGGTCCGCAGACACCGTGAAACCTAAAAACGGCGGTACCGAGTAGTACAAAACCGCTTTAAAGCTCACGTTTTGCACCGAATCCGATTCGAATCCTATTTTCCGGTTTTTTTTCAAAAATTAGCGTAAAATCCGGTGTTTGGTCCGCAAACACCGGACAGCGCTTCAAAATAGAGCTATCGGACTGTACGAAAACGATTTTAGGCTCAAATTTCGCGCTGAATTCGATTCTGACACGTCAAAAACGCTCTAATTCGCATTTTTTCAAAAAAAAAGTGTCGTGAATTCTGATGTTTGGTCCGCAAACACCACAGTGCTTCAAAATAGAGCTATCGGGTCGTAAAAAGTCGCTCCAAGACCCAAATTTCGCGCTGAATCCAAATCCGACATGCAAAAAAGCAAAACTTACATTGCTGATCCTCCAGCTGACGTCGTCGCTGCTGGTCCGCCTCCTCTTCCATTCCCCACAACCGGTGCCGATGAGGCGGCTGGCGGCTGAGCAATCGAAGTGGGCGGGGCGTGTGCAGTTGGCGCAATATCCGCCTTGACAATCGGTACCGTAATCCCCGACGCCGTTGTTGTAGTCGTCGCGAGGGATACAGTAGTTGGCGCTGGGGCAATCGGCACGGATAGAATCGGTTTTTGTGGCTGCTGCTGTGGCGACGACTTCTTGGAAGGCGTGGGCGTTGATGACGTGGAATTGCCGGCGTTCGACGTCTTCTTCTCATTGCTCAGTAGCTGCTGTTGTTGACGATACTCCTGAATGTCAGTGGCAATTTTTACGTGCATTCCACTCCAACGACCGGTTTTCTGGAAATAGTTGGGAAGTGTGTCTTACTGTACTTGGAATGCAAAAAATCTAATAAATTCGCTATGTCTAACTACTTGGGGATGCTGATTTTTGAGTTTTTTTTTTTTTTGAATTTGAGAAGAAAAGATTCCCCGGGACAGAGAAAAATTGAGAAAACCGATCGGGGAGGTTTTGGAGGAGGGACACAAAAACACTATATATACATATAGGAAAATAGGAAAATAATAGAGAGAGAGAGAGAGAGAGAGAGAGAGAGAGAGAGAGAGAGAGACACTGATTTTTAGACAAATTTTTAGAAAAAAAGCTCGAGTTAGAAAGTTAGTTTGGCGCCAAATTTGAATTTCGCTCATCGAGAGCTTTGAAATGAGTATAATGTTGACTATATTTGGTCAAAATTGGAATTCTAGACAAATTGGGTCCAAAGTCTGGGACTTACAGTAATCTAGGCTAGAAAAATCACTATGAAATTCGGTTTCCCCTCTCCAAACTATGCATAAATCCGAAATTTCAGCTCGATTTGACAAAGTGTCGTAAAATATGGTGTTTGGTGCGGTGTTTGCGGCTACAGTACACCAAAAACCAAAAGTAGAGCTAGCGACTCGAAACAAAAGGGCTTAAGGGTGAAGTTTCATGAGGATTACGAATTTGATGCTAAAATTAAGCTAGAGACGTTTTGAAAGCTGGGAAATTCAAATTTCTAGGGCAAAAAATTCGGGGGGTNCAAAGGGGTACAACTGATTTANGGGTACAAAATTCGTGGGTTCCAAAATTCGGGGGGTACAATCTACCAATGATTCTGGGGTACAACTTATTTCATTTAGGAGTACAAGGTTTGGATTCGGGGGTACATTTTTTTGACGAAGTTTCTGAATTCCTAAAATTTCGGAGCTTGAGNGTCTCTGAATTTTTAGAATTCCAGAACTTTGGAATTTCAGTATTTAGGAATCTGAAAGATTTCGGAACTTCAGAATCTGAGAATCTCAGAATTTCAGAACTTCAAAATTTCAAGAATCTCAACACTTCGGAACTTCAAAATTTCAGAACTTCAGAATCTCAATATTGTACCCTCGAATCACAACGTTGTACTCCTAAATGAAATAAGTTGTACCCCCCGAATCACCAATTTTGTACCCCTAAATCAGTTGTAGCCCCTTGTACCCCCGAATCATTGTACCCCCCGAATTTTCGGCCAATTTCTAGGTCCCTCCACGAAAATTCGGAGGCTTACAGTAATTCAGACTAAAAATTAACACGAAATTCGAATTCCTCACCTAAAACTACCCCCCTCCCCGTATGCCAAAAATCAGTCAGATTAGACAAAGTGTCGTGAGATATGATGTTTTGCCGGGTGTTTGCGGGGCTACAGTACTCCGGAAAATCAAAATTGAGCTAGCGACCCGGAAGAGAAGGGCCCAGGGGTCAAATTTCATGGGGATTTCAATTCTAGTGCTAAAATCAAGCTAGAGACACTTTGAAGGTTAGGAAAATTCTATTTTTAGCTGGTGGAGAGCTAGGAAAAGGGATTTTTCTCTAATTTTTTGTAATTTTGAAGAATCTAAATATACATTTCTACAAACAAATACTTCCACTCAAAAAAAAGGACACATAATAGCTCACCTTAATTTGTAGAGCAGGCATTGTCGAGAATAGCGCGGCCCCAGCCAATTGTGGTCCCAACGCAGTGTTCGGTGGAAATTGAATGCCATTAATGAGTCCGCCAGCTGCCGCTGCCGCCGCCGCTGCCGCCGCTGCTCCATTTGCTCCATTAACCTGAGCCAATTGTTGTTGAAGTGCCAAGAATGGGATATTCGCGGCTTGTTGTGTCAAAAATGGCGGCATTCCGGGAGGCATTCCTTGCTGTAGAATTCGAAGCGCTTCTGCTTGTGCGGCGGCATTGGGTACTGTAGCTACTGGGGCTACGGTACTTGGCGTCGTGGCTGCTGGCGGGACACCTCCCGTATTGATGTAGAGAGATGACGTGGCTGCTGCTGCAGCGGCGGCCGCTTGAGCCGCGGCTTGTTGTTGAGCCAGCTGAGCAGCTTGTTGAGCTTGATACTGGGCTTGACTGGCTGCCGAGATTCCAATTATAGAGTCGCGGGGACCATTTGGTATTGACGTGTTGCTGGCGGCGCTGGAAAAATCGAAATATCTTGAGAGCTATTAATTTTTCATAACTTCTATGCTCTAATTCCTCTTCCCCTCAATTTTCTACCCCAGAATCTGACTTCTCAGGCCTAAATTTCAAATTGTCGTAAAGTCTGGTGTTTGGTCCGCAAACACCGAGAAGAACAAGAAATCTAGATTTTCAAGGCTTCTAGTGTTATCCCTATTCTCATTGCAGTTAGCTTGTTAATTTTGAACACTTTAACTTGGCATTTCGTGAAGTTTGATGTTTGGTACGCAAACACCGCGGCAAAACTACAGTAATCCAAAAATTTTGAGGGTTGATGCATGGAGAGAACGTTTCTAGAGTGAAATTCTATGAGAAACTCGATTTTGACATTAAAATGCGGTTTTGGAAGCTCAAAAGCTGAAAAAAAGCAAAGTGTCGTAAGGTTCGGTGTATTGTACGCAGAGGTCTCAGTTTTGTCAGTAGAGGCTCCAGGAAACAAGTTTCTAGGTCAGAATTTCCCAGAGAGTCCGATTCCAGGCTCAAAACGAAGTTCTAAAAGCTCCAAATAGCAAAAATGCAAATTGTCGTCAAGTTCGGTGTGTTGTACGTAGACACCTCAATTTTTACGCTAGAAGGCCGAAAAATAAAGTTTCTCGGGCCGAATTTTATGAGAAACTTGATTTTGACAATAAAATGGTGGTTTATACAGCCTTAAACGGCGAAAAAAGTGAATTGTCGTCAAGTTCGGTGTATTGTACGTAGAAGCCTTGAATTTGCATCTAGAAATTCAGAAAACGTAGATTCTAGTACAGAATTTCCCAGAGAATCCGATTCCGGGCTTCAAATCGCGTTTCAAAAGCTGAAAATGCTAGAAAATAGCTCGAAAAAGCAAATTGTCGTAAGATTCGGTGTATTGTACGCAAACACCGAATTCTCCCAGCTGGAAGTTCAGCAAAAAAGAGGTTCTAAGCTAGAATTTCACATAGAATCCGGTTTCGAGCTCCGAATTGCGTCTTAAACGCTGCAAACGATAGGAAATAGCTCGAAAAAACAAATTGTCGTAAGATTCGGTGTATTGTACGCAGAGGTCTCAAAAATTTCAAAATTGACACTAGAGACTTTCTGAAAAAAGTTTCTAGGCCAGATATTTGCGAGAAACCCGAATTCGAGATTGCTTTAGATAGCTATATCCGCTACAAATCGCTGAAACGACTTACAAGAATGCAGCAGCTGCACTTGACGGACTAGAAGTGACAATAACGTCGTTCTCCTCAACACGCGCGACTTTCGGTGGTCCTTGGGGTGAATCACTGGCACTCCGCTTCGTTGTAGATGGCGTCGTGGCTACAGATGGAACTGGCGACGTCACTTCTGATGATGCTGGTGCCAGTGTTCCATCTTGAAGTGTTTGTGGCTGGGGTACCACATGAATCGATTGACTAGAAGATGTCGTTGATCCAGAAGACGTTGTTGCTGCTGCCTGTTGTTGCTCCATAGTTGTACTTCCCGGTGATTTCATTTCTGACGAGGCCGCCACGATGAGACCCTTTCGTTTTGTGTATTTCCTTTTCTGAGGGGCTGCTCCTTGGTTATCGGCTGATTGTTGATGGATTTGAGGACTCTGAAAGTACTTGTTTTAGACCATAAAAGCGAATTTTTCAGATTTGTCGTAAGTTATGGCACATTGTACGTAGACCATTCTAAACTTCGAAATTATCCACTTTTAACACCTGATTGGTTGTCTAAAGCATATTTAAAGTCGTCATATCAATTTTCAGAGATCTAGCTCAATGTGTCGTAAGATGAGGTGTTTTGGGGTACGCAAACACCGAATCGCTTAAAATTAGACCTAGAGAGTCAAAGAAAAGCCTTTCTAGGGCCAAATTTCGTGAACAGCTCAGTTTTGATGCCTAGAAATTGCTAAAGAGGTCGGAAGGTTCAGAAAACTTGAATTGTCGTGAAATATGATACATCGTACGTAGCATACTCAAAACTTCAAAATTTCCAAATTTTCACATCTGATTTGTTGTCTAGAGCACATTTCAAGTCGTCATATCAATTTTCAAGGCTCTAGCTCGAAATGTCGTAAGGTTCGATGTTTTGAGGTACGCAAACACCGAATCGCTTAAAGTTGAAGCTAGAGAGTGTAAGAAAAGCCTTTCTAGGGCCAAATCGTGTGAAAAGCTAAATTCTGAAATCTAGAAGTTGATAAAGCGACTGGGAAGTCGCAAAAATTCGTATTTTCCTCAAAATTTGATGCCTTACCTTCTGAAACTCGTTATAATACGCCCGATGCGGATCGTTCGTCTGTTCAGCCAAACGTGCCGCTTGTTGCTGATGATAGGTCTCAAATTCCAGCTGAAGTGCACGCTGCTGTTGTTCAACTTCGTAATCGACACCCAGCTCGATGAGTCGCTCCTCGAGCGGTGTCAAACGGACCACTGGCGGTGCTCCAGATGCGGCTAACGACGTCGGATCCAGATGACGTTGACGTAGTTGCTCTTCGCGCTGAAAATGCATATTTTTAGGACGATTTTCATTAATTTTAAAGAAAGTGTCGTAGAATATGGTGTTTTGTACGCAAACACCAGAAAAAGTAGATTTTTGGGGTCTACTACTCTAGACAAGTCCATCCACCAATTTTGAGCGCTCAAATTGTCGTCTAACTCAAAGTGTCGTAAAATCTGATGTTTTGGGTGCAAACACCAGGGTACCGTAATCTACAGTAATCCTCAAAGGTAGCGAGAGAAAGTAAAAAGAAACGATGCTAGGGTGGATTTTCATGAGGAATCCAATGGAAAGCTTAAAAATTCATTTTTCACAAGTCCAGGGCTTCAAAAATGAAATTGTCGTAAAATATGACGCATTGCGGTACGCAATGCACAAAACGCTTTAAAATAGTGTTAGGGGAAACGAGTTTCCGGCCTACGATTTCAAGGGGAACTCGATTTTGAGGTCTAGAACATCAGAAAATTAGTGGGAAGTCTGGAAAATTCAAAATAGATCTTGGCCCGGTGCCAAGAAGAAAAAACTCGTCTCCTGATAAAAAAAAGTGGGTAAACAAGGGGGTAAGGTGAGTGATAACATAACTTTTTTTCTTCGTTCAGTGATCAGAAATCTCAAAAACTAAAAAAAAAAAAAAAAAGAGAAAATAGTTATTTTCAGAAAGACAATATTTGGAAAAAAACGAGTTTTAAATTATAGCCAATTTTCAGCAAAAAATCACCAGGTTGAATGACATTTCGAGAGCAATATTTTGGAGAGTTTTTGAAATTTTAAAAAATTCGAAAAAATCTGGAAAAAAATGACCCAAAAATCATGCAAAAATCCATATTTTGGCGGGTAGACGAAAATCGAAAAATTTTCGCATTTTCACCGAGATTTTTTTGGCGCCAAATTCAAATATTTTGTAGATCAAAAAATTCCAGATTTCGGCGCCAAAAATCGGCTGAAAATGGCCGAAAAATCAGTTGTTTCAGAATTTTTTTTTTTTTTTTTTTTGGAAAATTTCAAAAACCTAATTTGTGATTTTAGGTCGAAAATTCGATTTTTTGGGGCATATTTGAGCCAAAAAATGGCTAAATTTTGAAATTTTGCCTAAGAATGCAAAATTTTCAGGACCATTTTCAACCGCCAATTTTCAGCCAAAGCAATTGAAGAAAAATCAAAATTTTGGCGCCAAAAAAATGTGGCTATTTCAGCCAATTTTCAGTCAATTTCAGTAATTTTTCGAGCTAATTTTAAGGAGCATTTTCAGACAAAGAACGAGTTTTTGGCGTCAATTTTCTGGTCCATTTTCAGGTTAATTTTCAGTCAAAAATTTCTAGAAATTTCGGCCAAAATTTGGGACTTTTTCAGCCAATTTTCAGTTTTAAAAAAACTATTTTTTCTAGCAACAAGGGGTCATACTAAAAACTAAAAAGAAGAAGAAGAAGAATTCCTTCTCGAGGAGAAAAAAAAACGGAAAAGAAGAAGACGTCGTACGTCTTCTACTTCTTCTTCTTCTTTTTCCGTTTTCTCGTCATCAAAAGAAGAAGAAGAAGAAGAAGAAGAAAAAAGAGAAAAGAAGAAGAAGAAGAGTGTTGGTTGGTCGACGGCGGCGGGCGTACACAAACCAACAGCAAAAACGTACCCAGAAGGCAAAGAGAGAGAGAGACGCAGAGAGGACGAGAAGCGAGAGAGAGAGAGAGTGGTTAGAGAAGAGGAGATGTGGATGGACCAAGCCATCTCTACCACATCATCCCTTTTTTTTGAGAAAAAAAAAGAAGATAGATTTTTACATTTTTTGGAAAGAATGAAATTTGAAAAAAATTTCAGATTTCTCTGAAATTTGGACCCCCAAAAAATCATGGGTTTTTCAGGCAATTTGCAACATGTTCAGATTCCGAAAACTCTCGATTTTTTGGCTATTTTCTCCTCCCTCCTAAGCTCCGCCTTTTTCTTGTCTTTTTTGGTATGTTTCAGAAGCGCTAGATGCTCGTTTTAGAAACGCCAAAAATCCCGAAATATTCTAGTTTTTTGAGTCAAATTTTCGCGATTTTTTTTGTGGATTTTCATTGCACCTGCTCTCCTGAAATTTAATTAAAAATAGAGAATTTGGCAGGTGGGGACGACGACACCTGTCTCCCAAGAAAATCGTATAGAAAATTGGGGGGAGGGGGAAATTAGATCAAAAATGTATGTATAAATTGGTTCAAAATTGAGCCAAATACGACTACAAAAATCAAAATGACGGCCTTTTTTTTTTTTTGGAAAACTCGGCCAACGGTCCCAAAGTCAACAGACAGAAACACACAAAAATTTTTCACTGTCAAATTCATTGGAAACGACCAAAAGTGACCCAGAAACGCTGAAAAATACCTCAAAGAACATTGAAAAATGAGTGAAAAGCGAGATTCTCCAACTGGTGGCCTAGGATTTTCAGAAACTCGGCCATGACTCCAAAATTAACGGAAAACTCGAAAATTATAGTCAAAATCATTGGAAATAACCCGTTGGAAAGCTTGGAAATTCTAAAAAATCCGTGGCCTAGAAATCCCCCAAAAAACTCGGCCATGGCCAAAAAAGCTCAGTGAAACCGTAGAAATCTCCGAAAACAGGCTGGAAAAACTACAAAATCTCGAAAGTTGCGTCCAAACAAGTCAAATTCAAGCCGAAAATTACCGAAAACGAAATGGTGGCCTAGGATTTTCAAAAACTCGGCCATGACTCCCAATTATGTTAAAAATCATGCAAGTTATAGTCAAGAACATTGGAAATGGGCCATAGGACACGATAATTCCAAAGAAACGACTCGAAAAAGCCGAAAAATTCGGTAAAAAACGGATTTCTAGATGGTGGCCTAGAAATCCCCAAAAACTCGGCCATGGCCAAAAAAGCTCAGGGAAACCGTAGAAATTACTAGAAACAGGCTAGAAAACCTCCAAAATCTCGAAAGTTGGGTCCAAACAGGTCAAAAACCAGCCAAAAATGACCGAAAATGACCATAAAGAAATGGTGGCCTAGAAATACTCAAAAGTCCCCAAAAAACTCGGCCATGATGTCAAAACGCTCGGGAAAAACGATTTCGAGAGTTTCCGGCTAAGCAGAGCAACTATTTGAAGTGACTGAGTCAAAAAATGAGGTCCACGGTCTGTGGTCCGCGGTCGAGTCCGCGGTCTGGACCAAAAAATGGGACAGATATAAATTCAAATAGAAAAAAACAATGTGAATCAGCCATCATCATCCATTTGGTCTGTCGGGGTGGCGATGGCTGTCAGTTCCCCAAGACCACGAAAAAGAGGAAAAGAGAGAGAGAGAGAGAGAGAGAGAGAGAGAGAGAGAGAGGCTCTCTCACTCCCAGAGAACACCAGAACCCTTCTAATAGATCCTAGAGACTTGTGGAGGGTCCAGAGAGCCCCACAGGGAGAGAGTATGGCTAACAGAGAGAGTGCTAGAGAGCACCAGACCTCTCTCCTATCTCCCATTAAATCGAATCGGAATTGTCAAGAGGAGGGGGGAAATGGGGTCTCTTCTCTCTCCTATAGAGAGATAGAGAGAGAGAGAGAGAGACTTCCAGAGAAGCATACATCCCTCCTAGGTAGTGTACCCAATCAGGAGAGCCTGCAGAGAGAGAGAGAGAGCCCCAGAAGTAGACTACGATCGTTTTGTTTTGATATTCGCCTGCTGCCTAATACCTGGCCGACCAGCCAACTGACGGTCCCCGCCGACCTCTCTGGTCACATGTTTTGTTTATTCTCTCTCTCTCTCTCTCTCTCTCTCTCTCCAAAATTCTCGGTCGCAAATAGAAAATAGGTATGTATTGGAATCAAAGTACTTCCTCCTGTCATGTTTTGGTGGGTTTCTTTTTCTGCTGATTACTGGTTGATAACGAAATTGAAATTGAGAAGAGACGATGGGCGGTGTGTTGTTGATGATGATGATCGAGTGGGTTGGCGAGGGGAGAAGATGACGAAATTGAAATTGATAGAGGTCAATATTCGAGGGCAGGGGGATTTTTAGCCTTGTTGATGTTTGCAGGATCATCGGATCGCCAGGTTCGCTAGTTCGGAGATTAGGTACCAGTATTCTTGGACGCACCAGGAGGTCTAGATGATGGCTAGGACCTAGATTTTGAACACAGGAACCAACAGGCTGCAAAGACCATGTCAAGCTTCCTTGGAGGTCTTAGGATCATAAGACCCAGAATCTAGGACTTCAACCCGTCGAGACTGCGGTCCGAATGATGATAAGGCTTGTTATCTTAGGTCCCAGATCTTCAATCCTAGGATGTTAGGACCCAGAATCGGGGACTTCAAAATGCTCAAAAGATCTTGGTTCGGGTCCAGATGATGGTTAGGATCCCACCGGCTGCTAAGATCATGTCAAGCTTCCGATCCTAGATCTTTGACGCGCTGGGTAATGGTTAGGACTTAGATTCCGAGCCCAGGAACCTATATAGACTCCACGCCTAGCTTCCTGGTTTCAGATCTTAAGGCCTCAAGCCTCCGGTCTTAGACCTTCCCAGGGGTTTCAAGCACAAACGATTTTCAGAGTGTGCTAGAATCGTCTAGAGGCCTTCAGATTCCTCCAGAATCGCCTAGAAGCCTATCGAATGCTCCAGAATCGTCGAGAAGCTTTCACATAGCTTGCGAGTGCATTGGAAGCCTTCGAATCCCTATAACTCAAGTTAAGAACCTTCTAGATCTTTCCGATCTCTCCAGGTTGCTTCAGATGCCTCTAGTACATTTCAGATTGCTTCCGAATCTATCTGGATGCTTCTAGAGAGTTCTGGAGTGCAGAATCTTGGATGGCAATGTGGAAAGTCCCCCTGGATCCCGAAAACCCCAATTTTCCTGATCTAGCTGTCTTCTTGATCCTATATTCTTGATCTATACGTTCCATCATCATTCCATCAAAGTGAAAGTCGTCCTTTTGCTAGCCAGGCAAAAAAAAAGAATACGTCTTCTTCTTCTTCTTCTTCTTCTTCTTCTTCTTCAGAATACGAGATCCTAAAACGACAAGGCGCACGCACATCTTGTATACCAAAACCTCTCTCCATCCCCATCATTTCTCCTTCTCTCTGCCACCCTCCAATCTCTCGTTCTCTTGTTCTCTAACCCTCTCTCTCTCTCTTCTTCTCCACTTTTTACATCTCAAAACCAGCCGTGTGTGTCCAGTCTGTGTGTTACACAATTCATCACCCCCCCCCCCCTTCGCCGCCTTCATCCTGCCAGAGAGGAGGCTCAGAGACTAGAGACAGAGAGAGTGGTTAGAGAACACGAGAACGTTGAGAGAGTAGGGAAAACGAGGAGAGCAGTTAGAGAGCTCGAAAATTGCATTGCGCGCGCGCGCGAAAAGAATCTAATCTTCTTCTTTTTTCACTCTTTTCTCGGGCCTCCTCCTTCTCCTTCTTCTTCTTCCTGTGCGTGAATAATTGAAAAGAGAGAGAGAGAGGCGTGTCTCTCTTTTGTTGTCATCCTTGCGTGCGTGTGTGCCCCCCTTCTAGAGCAGCTAATTAGGCAGAGTATTCTAGAAAAGAGCTCTCTCCGGAGCTGCTCTCGGCCTTTGGTCGGTGAATAGAAAATGATATGTGAGCCGAGAGAGAGAGAGCGAGAGATGTTGCCTTTTCCGCTCTCGCTGCTTTGCATGCATGACATTTCGCAGTTTTGGCTTCTACTCCGGAGCTTTGGCCTGTCTACTTTGGCTTGTTTTGGCTTCTACTCCGGACTTCTACTCCGGCCTGCTACCGCTTCTGTGTTG